AAATTAGAGAATAATTTCATGACAATTACTTTGAAATTGTCAGTAGAAAGAACAGCAGATGCTGTTTGAGCAGCATTATGCAGAACACAGGCAGGGCAGCCTACCCCTTCCATAGAATCATTCACTACTCTACTTTGAATAAACATTGTTAGGTCTGGTGGCTCAGGTAAGAAGCAAAGAATTGCACAGCAATTAGCTAAGGAAAGATAGTTTCTTTAGAATGAAGATTAAAGAGAGAGAAATAAAAGGGAGGATTCACCTCCTCCAGATTGGGGAGAAGGCCAGAGTTTACAAAGAAGCATGGCCACCATTGTTTGAGGTTGAATGCTTTTTAAACCTTTGCTTTGGTGTAGGGGTAAGTCGTTAAGGTGATGGGGTGGTAGTCTCTTTTAAGTCATGATGAAGAGGCAGGCAGATGGGTGGGTTCATCACATAACTGTTGCCATGGTGATGGGGTCTGTCTGTAACACGTAGGCCATCTTGGTTTTTTTATGCTGAAATACAGACTTGCGAGTAGAAAAATAAACAGTATAAAGCAGGCTCGGGAAGGGGGTTGTAAATTATCAATAGCTATCTCTGGGAAAATGGTTCTGTCCTTTGCTAATGGCTAGAGGGTCAATTAAAGTAAACTGCTAGAAAAACATGACAGAGCTATGCAATGCTAAAATGGCAGCTCTTTGGCTAAGAGTATTTCATTAAATTTTCCATTTTGGCATTTACCCTTTCAATTGTCTTCAGCACCTTTATGCAACTATTCAATAAAATGTATATTTGTATTATTTCCATGAAAGCAGTATGATTTTTTCATTGACTGGTGAGTCAATAAGAGAATCTCTGTGAAAATTTTCTATTATTATTGATGTCTCTTCTGAAAGAGATCTTACTTGGGATAGACTTACAGGCAAGCCTTTTTTTTTTTTGAGTTGGAGTCTTATTCCTTCGCCCAGACTGGAGTGTAGTGGCACACACACTCACGGCCACCCCGGTGTTGACCTGCTGGGCTCCGGCAATCCTTCTGCCTCAGCCTTCCACATAGCCAGAACTACAGGCATGTGCTACCACGTCCAGCTAATTTAAAAACATTTTTTTATTATAGAGATGAGGTCTCACCAAGTTGCCTGGGCTGGTCTAGAACCCGCAGACTCAGGCAATCCCCTCACCTTGGCCTCCCAAAGTGCTGGGATGACAGGTTGAGCCATTGAGCCCTGCCGAGGCAAGGTTTTTCCACGAGAAAATTATTGGATGAGAAAGAAACTTATTTTTTCTGCATTGTGATTACTTGCATCTTGCCTCTCAGGCTGTCTTATAAAAAGGTGAGGCAGTTAGAGCTTTGATAATCTCTGTGACAGTAAATGGAGTGGCTATGCTTTTATTATTGCAGGAGATTTTGTGCTGGCACTTGAAAATTTCCTTGCAATGTTGATATCAGAAAATACTTTTGGCAACAGTATGTTAAAAGCAGTCATTTGAACCGAAATATGGTGTGGAAGCCATCACAACTTGGCTATTATTTTATCTTCTTTATGTGAATTCCTATAAAACCAAAAAATTATTTTATCACCTTCTTTGGTACTAGTCGAGGAAATCATACATCTCTTGTGCTAAGCAGACAGCCTATGCTAGTTTATGTCTGGATTTCCTAAACAAAGAGCTTTGTGAGGGCCAAAGTTCTTGGTTCCCTGGAGGTTTGCTGAAAATCACTTACACAAGGCAGATTGATTAGTGGGAGAAAAGGCATATACATTTATTTAAGGAGTATCCACGTGAACCTTCAGAATAAAAACCCAGTCTCCCAATAAGCTACAGATATTTATAATCTTGAGGTTACAGAAATAATGGGAGCTTGGATCCTGGCAGAACAGGTTATGAAAGGGGGAAAAGAGAATTTCTGTTGAGAGGCAGTAAATGACAACTAGGAAGAATGATTGTATTGGGGAACAGACATTAACTTGTAAATAGTTCTCTTTAGAATTTAGAAGATCCTTGGAAATAGTAATTACTTTGGATTTGTTGAGGTGTGGCTACATTTTTGGTCTTCTTCTTGTAAGGGATAATAAGATAATGTGGGGGAGGGTGTGGAAAAAACAAATTGTTCTCCTTGGGGGGTCTGGACTTCAGGCAGACAAAGGGACTTCAAACTTCTTTGAGAGAGACAGTGTTGTGTGTGGGGCGGGGAGTTAGGGAGAACTTGAGACTTGTTCAGTTCAGCATGTCAAAATGCCATATTTTGGGGGTACTGATTTCTGAGTCTCAACAACTTCAAAGTACTTTTTTTCTGATTAGTAAATATCCACTGTTCAAAAAAATGTATCACAAAATTTGCACTTGTGTTTTGGCATTTGATGGCTCAAATACACAAATGCAATGCCATGTGTGGCAGGCTGGATATGGCATGGCTGGACTTAAGGGAGTGGAAGTATTCACCAAGACAGTTTATCAGTTAAGAAAGGTAGATTTGTTAAAGATAGATATATTGTGAAGGGCACAATGGCCCAACCAGTAGAGAATGCTGTCTGCTGTCTGCAATGAGGCACGAACTAGCGGGGTGTTTTTTTTGTTTTTTTTTTTTGAGTGAGAGTCACTCTATCGTCCAGGCTGGAGTGTAGTGGCACACTCACGGCCACCACAACCTTGACCTTCTGGGCTCAGGTGATCCATCTGCCTCAGCCTTCCAAGTAACTGGAAACACAGGCACACACCATGATACCTGACTAATTTTTTGATTTATTGTGGAGACAGGTCTGGCCGAGTTGCCCAGGCTGGTCTTGAACCCACAGACTCCGGAAATCCTCTCGCCTTGTCCTCTCAAACTGCTGAGATTACGGGCGTGAGCCACCACGCCTGGCCAGAGGGGTGTTTTTATGAGAGGGGTCCAGTGTGGGCCAGGGAACTGTCTTTGGGGGAGGTCTGTGCAAGGAAATTTTTCAGAGGTCTGTGAAGGGGCTGATGGATGATGGTATGATATTTTGTTTCTTTAAGATAAGTTAGTTAACAATAATTAACTGCTTTTTGTTTACTGTGCAACTAGCAGTGAGTGGTTAACTGCTTTTTGTTTACTGGGAACTAAAAGCAAATATTTTACAGCTGACTAATCAGCTTTTACTGCTTTTTTGCTGTTATCAGTAAGTCTCTTTGTAACATTTGTAAAATTTCATCCTGGGATTTCCTTCCTCAATTTACCCAGTTGCTGCTGGCCTAATCGGGCTTCATATTCTTCTACATAAAATATAGAATTTTAAAAAATGAGCTTGATAAGCTGCCTGGGCACATCTGCTACTCACAAGTCTGAACTCAACCAATCATAAACAGGAGTTTGAACAGATGAAACGATAATGAACTCATGAACTAGAAATAAATTTAACTAGATATTGGATGTGAAAACACGGGCACTTCCCATTTGCCTGGCAGAGAGAGCTGTGTTTCCAGGATTCAGGCTCCCAGATGAAAGTCAAGCTGGCTTCAGCTAAGGCTTTTCAGAGTGTTATTGAACCAAACTGGAGTCCACTGGCCTGGCACAGAAAAGTCAAACACTGACACCAGGATGGCAGCAAGAGAATGTGAGGCATTTATAGCAGGGCACCAAGCAAGGGGAATCAGGTAACTAAAAGCTCAAATCCTGACCTCCTCATGACTTATGAGTAAAGGATTTTAAAGTCGGGGAGGCAAAGGTACAGGCAAAATCATACATCGCTATATGGAGGCCATACATTGGTTTGACCTAAAAAGGTGAGGCATCTCAAAAGTGGGAGACCTTGGGTTTAAAGATTTTCTGGTTTGCAATTGGTTACATTTGAGATCAGCAGAAAATAAAGTCAGTTCTGACTTTTGGATGTGACCTCTTCCAGGGACTGCAGGAAGAAATGTAAAATAAAGAATGAAAGGTGGTACCTATAGAAACCTAGAAGAAACTTATCTTATTCTTAGTTTAGTCTTTTTGCCTCAGCATGACCATTAGAAAGCATTCAGACATTCTACTGCAGGACAAGCAGAAGCCTATTCCATCCCCCTCAGCAAATCTCCATCAGATGCAAGACCAGGACAACCCAACTTTCAATTCATGGTTTAGCATAATAATCTCTAGTAAACTTTTAGGTTCCTTGTCAAGGCCATCAAAGATCACTCTTTGGCTGGCCAAAGTCATAAAACTGATAATACTACCACCTTTGGTCAAGGAATTTGTGAATTGCAAATGTCTAACAAGTCTCTTGCAGGGAAAAAGACCCCTCAAGGCCCAAATGCCCCAAGTTAACCTAATCAGTCCTTTGTGACCTACATGACACAGATAAACCCCACCATGGTAGCAATCATGTGACTAACCCACCCATCTGTCTGCTGTCCCTCACCTGATGTCAGTACCTGCACTTGCCTGCCCCTTTGTGATGACAAGGAGCAGACCACCGCCTGATCACTTTAATGATCTTCTCCCATCTAGGGGAATGGTTAAAAGAACTCAACCACAGGCACCCAGCGCCATTGCCTTGCTAGAGTCTGGTGTGGCCATGTGCTCTTTGAGCTATGGCTGTCACCAGGCTTCCTGGCTTTGGCCCCCTCCCCCACATTAGTGAGGTGACTCTTCTCTCTCCTTCTCTTTCTCTCTCTAATTTACTTTTAAATAAACTTTTCTCTGTCTCTTTGTGTTGCAATTCTTTGCATTTACTCGGATCTCTGACTAACTGGTGCTGCACCTCCCCTTGTCTCTCCATCCACCCTCACCCTATCCGTACCCTAACAAAGAAGAGTAGTAAGAATTTAGTCCTTCATTTCTCTTATCTGAAGTCTCTATGCCAGTGGACCTTTTTGGTGGGGGTCTGGGTTTCTGAAAAACAACTCAGGGATCTTTAGTTTCTGTAGGACGCAAAACATCTTCTGACTTTAAAGTTCCTTGCCTATTATTTTAAGCTATTACTTTCTTGCTTATTAAGTTGCTTATTTCCTTCTTAAGATTAGCTAGGCGTGGCCTTGTTCTCCACTGTCCTCCACTGTCCTCCTGCTGTGCTAACACTACCCAGCTCTCATCAGCCTTGGCTGGCCATCTCCCTGACACCCAGCTCCATGCCTTCAATTGAGTGGAGAGTTCTGATGGTGAGATATTTGAAGTTGATGTGGAGCTTGCCAAACAATGTTGGAAGATTTGGGAATGAAGGAGGTGATGACCTAGCTCCTCTTTCAAATGTCAATGCAGCAATTTTAGAAAAGGTCATTCAGTGGTGCACCCACCACAAGGGTGAACCTCCTCCTCCTGAGGATGAAAACAGAGAAAAGCAAACAGATGATATTCCCATTTGGGAACAAGAATTTCTGAAAGCTGATCAAGGAACACCTTTTGAACTTATTCTGGCTGCAGATGACTTAGACATCAAAGGTTTGCTTGATGTTATATGCAAGACTGTTGCCAATAGGATCAAGGGGAAAACTCCTGAGGAAATTCACAAGACCTTCAATATCAAAAAATGACTTTACTGAAGAGGAGGAAGCCCAGGTACGCAAAGAGAACCAGTGATGTGAAGAGAAGTGAAATGTTGTGCCTGACATTGTAACACTGTAAGGATTGTTCCAAATACTAGCTGCATGCTGGGTTCGGTGGCTCAGCCTGTAATCCTGTGCCTTTGGGAGGCTGAGGTGAGTGGA